AGATTGTATAAATCAATAGGATGTAAAATATAACCTATTAATATTATATATACCGTTATATCGACATACGTCCATGAACGTGTAAAAGATAGTATTAAGCCAGTCTTGCTTATCCATAAATGCAATTTTAATTAATCAGGTATTAATTTATTAAACTATAATAATTAAGGCTTCTATCCCAAAATTTCATTTTACGAAGTGCAGTACAATTTAAAAATATTAAAAATTTTACGATGAAGCTGTAGAAAGAAATATTTCTCCGATAGAAAAAAAATATATTTCTCCGATAACAGTTGACGAATTTCGAAACGAGCCGAAAGCTGATAAAGGGTTCTGGAACAAAATCAATGGTGCACGATCATCATCTGGATCCTGTTTTCGACGCACGCGTGAAAACAACGGACGAACGGAGTGGCTATCTGACGCCATAACAATAATCCGTGGGAATGCGTCCGTAAGAATGGGTCGAGTTATAAACCCGAAAATCCGTACGCGTTCTCGATCGCAAGCCGGTTTTCACGAGCCACCGTGAACCGATACGCGCCGCTTTTATGTCCGTTTTCATGGCGCTACGGGGTCGTAAGGAAAATACAGTTACCCGCGGCCAGAGAGTATCCAGGCCGCTTCTGCTCGACTCTGTAACAAAGTGAACGCGTTTGATGAACCTTTGAATAAAACAACCAGCCGAGAGAAACGTTTGGGAGCCGTTCGGTCGAGTTGCTCGGCTGTTGAGAGTTTTGACGAACGCCAGTGGAGTGATTTTCTTCTCTGATACGCTGGCTGAGAAATGTTTCTCTCCTATTTCTACCGCTTTTATTCTTTGTTTGTTTCTGAAACTTGGATTTCATTTGGAATTAGATTTACTTCGGTCAATTTGTAGAAATTTTTAGCTAGATATGCTCAGTGCACTTGGATCAGTTTTTAGGTTAGCTGCTTACATTAAGCGTCCGCAGTATACACCTAAGCGTCCGCAGTGCGCACTTAAGCTTCCACATTGCACACTTGAGTTATAGATTACATTAAATTAAGATCCTTGAATATTGAGAAATTTAGCGAAAAACAGTGGAGTGATTTCTTGTGCAAAGTTTTTGTGCAATCTGTTGCATTTTTGATACTTGGATTTCTTTCAGAATTACGTTCAATTGTAGAAATTTTGAGGTTATGTGTTCACTCAGCTGAAGCTTAGAATTAATTTTTTGCATTTTTGCTTTTCAGATTTCTTTCAGAATTACGTCAAATTGCAGAAATTTTGAGGTTATGTGTTCACTCAGCTGAAGCTTAAAATTGATCGGGTTGCTAGTAAAATTCTAAGCAGAAATGTTCCTAATACATTTGGAACATGAATCGTTTTAGATTAGATATGTTACATCAGCATCTTCTTAATTGAAGCTAGAGTTGCATCTAGATTATGTAACTAATATTTGGATAGCTAATGGTGTTTGACGTCTTTCAAGCATGGATCATTTTTGGGTTCAAGTATGTTATACTATTTAGTATTTACTCTTTGAAGTTTGGGTTGCATTTAGTGTCAGGTTGCGTTTAATTACGGGTGGAAATTTTCAGGAGAGCGTGTTTCGTGCGGGTGTTTAAGTTAAACAAGAGATAATGTAACATCAGTATTTTACTCAGGAATCCTGTATCTTTGAAACTTCGGATATCCTTAGGATTAAGTGAGCAGATTGTTGGAAGAAACTTTGTATAATAGTTGTTTAAGTAGAACTCGTGCATCTTTAGAGCTTGAAATACTTTAAGTACGGTTTACTTACCTGGCAATTTTGTGTTTTTCAAATGTAGGTTATGTTCGAAATCAAGTTTTCAGAGTAGCATACAAAAATGTTGAACAACGTGGTTTCCGGTCGAAGTTGAACAAATTTTCCCCTCCACCTTTAATCCTTTCGCTACGGCAGATTTCAATGCGTAAACGTGGGTGACCGACGATAAATTTTTAACCACGGCTGCAACATTTCTTATTTCCTATTTTTTACTTTCAAAATTCCTTATTCTTCTAAAGGATAAAATTAGGAATTACATTAAGATGGAAGTGCACCAAAAGGCTCCAACAGTATAGCGCGAGCAAATTTTCAAACTCTGCGCCAGTAGTAACGAAAGGGTGAATCACCAGCTTCTTCGCTCGAAAAAGTGACAATTTCACTATAGTTCCACAAAACATTTCATCGCGAAATCAGCCGGAAAATCGCGAAAAATCGCAGCAAGTATGTACAGTAGGAACAATGCGTCTCCGTCGAATTTTAATCTGCTTCAGCGTGGAACAAAGAGACGGGACCGGTGTTGTTTCGCGTTATGAACTTCATTCACTACAGATTTCTCAGTTTCGTCGTAAAAGGGCGGCGTACAGGAGCGGGGCAGGACGACGAAGTGGGGTAGGGATGCGGATGGTCGTAAAGGGATTACGCTTAAAGTTAACGTGGCCCCGTTAAGAAACGTCCTGATAAAATAAAATCTTAATCCTGGCCCGACCACAGAAGCGACCGGAGATTTAAGGTCCCTTACCCTTGTTTTCCATCCCCCCTCTCCCCACTCGAACCACCTTCGGAACCCTCTATCCCTCCCGGTAAACCATTCGCTTCCTTTCTTTTTCGCCCCTTTTGCAGACCGCGCCACCAGCTTTTACGGCTTACTGGCTCGATTATTAGACGTGTCTCGTTTTCATGAAACAACCACCTCTCCCCTCCCTCACCGCCGTCCACTGCTACCAGTCTCGAACGTTTCCTGCCTCGCAGGTTGTATTAACTTGTAATTTTATTGTGACGATATTGTACCGTGCTACACCAGCAGTGGATTTTTCTCTCGACCTTTTTCGCTCTCGCTCCTTGGGAAATTTTCGTACCTTTTCAGGACTCTGCTGATGGTGGAAGGGAAATCTTGGCTTTCGGGAGAATTTGGAGATATTGATGGTACACTTGGTGGTACAATTAATGGATCGTGATATTTTCGGGGAGATATTGTCGATTTTTGAACTGTTTTCTGACTTCGAGATGGGAAATTGAAATTTAATTCTTTGCAGGTATGGAAGGTTGCAGAATATACGTATTAAGGGGGTGCGCCACTCTGAGGCGTTTAACACTAGGCTTACGGGCTCGTGATTTTCACGCATTTCGAATTTCACAAGGAAAATTACAGAAATCGTTTACATCTCTCTCCTACCACTTGTGCTTATTATAAATTTTATATAAATATATTGTTCATATTATAAGCTACCTCAAAAGCTACCTGTATGTGCGTCGCAGCGTCGACGGTTTGTTGGCGACGATTAAACGACGCGGAGGAACTTCACTCGTTGAAGTCCCAGTCGAAGGTGTGGAAAGTGGACTGTATTTGTTTATTGAGTGATACGAAATGTATTTTTGTGTGACTGCACCGAGGGTACAGTTGTGTATATGGTTGATGTGAATCCGTGTATGGTAAGCTACGAAGTGAATACTGCGTCGTCGACTACGAAGTCCTACTTAAAACTTAAGTAACCCCCTTTTCCTGCCCTTCTCAGAGCGGGGGTGAGGTCACTGTCTAAGTATGGGAGGGGGTTTCTCGAAGGTTCGATGGGTCGCGGAAAATTCCTCCAGGTCGACTCTTAACTACAAGGACCGTTATACACATGTTTTAGCCTACCTTTCGGAAATACCGAGTTTATGACCTGGTCGGTTATTAAGACGAACGAAACGAAATTCTTAAGCTATTGTGTAAAACTACTACTATCGCGAAGGCATAAATTGCCGGTTATAGAAAAAATAAGACTCTGAAACTATTAACGAAAAATAAACACGAAAATAAACTGTCTGTCACGTCCATGTCATAAACTAACCTTCGAGAATCTTTAATTACGGTGTTCCGTATTGGACGGAACACTACCGAAAGACGACGGCCGTGCGTGTCGTGTGAGAGCGGTGTGTCGGTCAAGGCGCGAGACGAGCAAAAGAGGCAGTCGTTAAGTAGCCACCGAGTCGTTTTGTATCTTTTATTTTGTCTTTATTCAATCTTACAACGTTGACTCGTTGTTGCTCCCTTCTCCAATTGACGTTGTTTTTAAATAAAATGAGTTGTTTTTTAATGAACATATGCGGTTTCGTTGGTAAAAATGAAATTTCAAAAAAGTAATTTGTAGTACAAAGGGTGCTTAATAAAAGGGGACAAATGAGTTTTCTTAAATTTTCTCATAAAGATAAATAATTCACAGAAATAAAAAAGCTGTAATTTGCAGCGAACGAAAAATTGTCGCACAGTACCGGCCAGCTACTTAGTTAGTAGATTTGAAGGTCTAAATAATAAATAATGTTAGTAAAAATCGTTTAAAAATGGAATAGAGCTTTTATTTAGGCACGTCTACAAATATCACAGGTAAAGTGATCGACATTTTCTTGATCCGTACACTCCACGTGAGTCCAACCATTGCAGCTATGAAAACTAACTTTTGTCGTACGGAACACCGGCGTAAACGCTAAACGTCTTAGAACTCTGGTAATACTGGAGAAAAAAGAAGCTGTTTTTCCATCAATAGTGCAGTCAACTAACAGTATAACCGAGATCTAGCTTTTGCCGGTACTGCACGGTTCTCCTCTACATAAGAAATTTCCGTAAACCTACTGCTAAAAATAGGTAAAATTTGAGAATTTTTTTCATAGGTAACTACCGAATGAGAAGTTTCCATTTTTTAACATTTCTATTTTTTCAAAATTGAAAGTTACATTTATATCCTCTGAAAATATTGAAACTTCTCATTCAGTATTACAGTTACCTGTGAAAAAAGTATTTCTACCTTTTACCTATTTTCAGAGGCCTCGGTGTAGTGTATCCCTTTTCGAGTAAATATGTATGTACATACAGAAAATAAATAAATTTGCACACATGTATATTAGGTCGACTAACTGTTCAATTGGATAATCTAAAGGAGATCAGTTTTCAGAGAAACTATTTTTTCTTCTTTTTTTTTTTTTTTGTAAGACTCCAAGTTCTTTGCGCTGACCAGAAATTGTTTTCTTTTACAGTACCAATGGCTACGTGTGCCTGATGTTCCACAGAAGAGACAACCACATAATAGAGCTGCAACTGTCGGAATGGGGCCAGCAGCCCGATGTGTGCGACTCGACTACGTTCAGCAACCAGTCGATGCCGTACATGACGTTCATTAGTAAGTCAATTACGGTCATTTATTAACACTCGAACGCCTCCCGCTACTTACACGCGTTACTTGGCGCCAGTTTAGACGCTCTTTCGGTGATGGAATTCGTAAGCAAGGTTTTCGGTGCTCTTACGAAAGATATACAAGAGGATTTACGTTTAAACAAGTTCTTTGGATTTAGTACGTGGTTAATTGTAACGAACTTTCTGAATATCGATTGTGGTACGTGCTGGATAATTTTCTGGATTAATTTCTAATACAGTTTATCAACTTTTTTCATCAAATTTTAGTAAATTATCCTGAAGCAACAAATATTTTCGATTAAGAGATGTGAAAAAATGTATGAAATATATGAGAGTAACTGCACCAAATAATTATAATAAATAATTATTAACGACATGAAAAATAAAATTTGTCGAAAGAAAAAGTTCCCCGTGATAATTTTGTAGGATTAAATCGTGAATGGGATATCGCGAATGTGATATTATTTTACACAAGCACTCGTTTTCTGATAATCTTCCATTTTCTCCTCATTATAAACTCCGGTATTGAATCATTCTATCTCATTTTTCGTCAACCATTCTCACTAACAAAATTGCAATTTCACATCGAAAAATCGATTCCGTTTAAACCGAAGTAGAACTGTAAAAGCAAATAAGACTAATCTGACCTAACCTACAATATCCGCACAGTGGCTATTTTTCTACAGTAAATTTCTTTCGCCTGCTTACCAAGGAGAAACTTCGATTCCCCTAATTGACAGATCGAACGCGATATTAATTGCGCCCGCGAGTCTCGAAAAAAAAAGCCACGTTGCTCACGGTCGCAGTTTCTCGTTTCGCTGAGCTCGAAAATAAAACGCCAACTGCTAGAATTAAAAGTGATATTTCACTGTCGAAAGTTGCTGTGGAGAAAAAATAACAAAACAAAAAAAAAAAATAGGCGGAGTGAGAGTGAGAGGGAGGAATAGAAAGAAACGGGATGGAACTAGGAGGGATATAAAATATGACAGCGAACGCGCGAAGATAGCGCATTCCCAATGGGGCACTCTTGAAACGCGATGAAATTATTTCGCGAGAATTCCTGCTACCAGCATTCCTTTACACGTGTATCGATAAATAACGTCTTAACAATGGCCAGCCGCGATAAATGCCCTGCCTCTCGCGAAATTGCTAAATAAACGTGGCGTTGTTTAAACGAGAGAATTCGGAATCGACTTCTTTTTTTTGCGCAATACTGTCTCTGTGAAATTGCTAAATGTCGTTTATTTTATCGTAAATAAAACAGTATTTTATTCTCGTTCAATATTTTTTATAATATTTTATTCTCATTCAATATTTTTCATAATATTTTATTCTTATTTGATAGTAAATGTAAATACATTCGGTGACATTGTTTCGCAAGGAAATTTCAATGTTGTTAAATTCGACGTGTTTCGTTTATTTCTTTTTTTTTTTTCGGTGCATCCAATTTAATTCTCCATTTATTTGTTTCATTAATTACTTCAACCTGTCCACTTGGAGTGTCAGTTGCGCCGGCAGGAGCATTCGTTCCGGTGATTAAACGAGAATAAATGAAAAATAAGTTTATGCACATAATGTAACCGAAAGAATGTATTGTTTTTCTCTGTTGTATCATACGCCAAACGCCTGTTAAAAATCCAGTTAAACACAGAGGGGAAAAAGAAAACGGAACCACTTTTTCTCTCTCGTTTCGAAGCACACCTATCGATTCACAGATTTCCCTTCGCGGGAGGCAAACGAGGAAAGGGAAAAAGAAGAAACGCACGACGAGGAACATTTTTAATTCCACAAAGTGGCCGAAAAGAGAACGCGCCGGTGTAGCTAGCGCGAAGTTTCGCTTTTGTAATTGGAATACGGGAAACCGGAAGCGGTGGCGGGCGAACGCCTCTCTCGAAAGTGATTCCCCACGCCACGTGGAATCGCGTCTCGAAATCAATCGAGGAGCGATCGCCCCCCGCCCTCTCCCCACGGCGATCGAATTCGTGTTTCTGGCCTGTTTCGATCTTATCGAATCACTCGGCTCGCTGGACTGCCTTCCCATTCGACGAACGAACCGTGTTCCTCGATTTGCGGCGGCTAGGCTGTTTACGAAAAGGGTTAAACTTGCGACATTGAGATTCATAATTCGGGAATTGGTAAAAGTGAAAATGAACACTGACGCTAATTTTTGTAATTCCTCCAACATCAAAAATCGACAATTCCCTTTCTCGCTGAATCGCTCTGAAAAAAACTAACATCAAAAATCGGCAATCCTCACACAACTTCAACAAAGCACAGTGTTAGATCTAGATTTACTAAATTCGCTTTCTCGAAGGACCACCTCCGTTTTAGGAGGACAAATAACTATTAATATTGACTAATCTCTGAAGAACTACTCGTAGCGTGGTCAGATGAATTCTATGTATCTAGGGCTCGGACACTTTCCAAGACACCTAGGATACGAGCCTTCAGCGGGGGTGAGACACGCGGGTTCGTCAGCTACATTTTCGAACTCGACAAGGGAGGTGGTTGAACCTAACGCGATTGGCAATCATTAGGTACCGAAAACTAACTAAGGTGACACCCCCTTGTCAACGGTCACTCTCAAGTGTCCGTGCAGCCTTGAGTGACGGGCGCGAAAACTCCGCGTGTCTCGAACAATGGGCGCAGCAGGTAACAAATCTGGGTAGCGCTTCGACGCTAATGAAGCACAGCGAAACAGAAATCAAAGAGCTAGAAAGCTAAAGTACGGCAAGCAAATGTGTACAATGCAAGCAAAATGCTCGATGGCCTCCCAAGTTTATGACCGCTGCGAAAGGCCGAGGAATTCCCAGACCCGCGTCTGGAAACGTACTAATCCTAATGACTTAACACACAAAGTTCGCAAGAACCTCGAATAAAGATAGCTTTACACGACTATTCAACGCGCTCCTGATCGAACGAAAAGAAGAAAAAAAGAAAAAATAAAAAAATAGCTATAAAGAATGGAGACATAAAAAGTTTGATGTTCAGAGGTAGAAGTCTCGACTTATATAAAACAGGGTAAAACGGCTTCTAAAAGTCGGTAAAGTCGAGGAACAAACGAACGTAAACACAGTGGGGTGAATAGAGGAAGGAAGGAGTAATTTCGGGGTGGTCTAGACGCGACTCGAATGGCGTCACGATAAATTCCACGCTGGCAGAACAAGCCTGTCTTTGTCAGTGTTATGGAATCGCGTAATCGGCTTAAGCAGAAACTGTGCTGCCTTCGGTGAAGGGTCTGAGTTTACGACGGATTCGGCATATGATCCTTTGCAGGATCGTAAAGGAGCCGCTTGCGAATCGGTTGTTCAACCCCGTCGTTTCGCGACTTCCTCTTTGTGCTACGCGCGTTTCCGTTCTGGCGATGTTTGCGTCTGCGTTTCCCATTCATCCACACGCAGACGAATCTGCCGGATATGAGCGAATCGGGTTATGATGTAACACGTATTGAAACACCGAATAGACCAAGTTTTAGTTCTCGTGTTCTTCATTCCAGGATTTGAGCGTCAATGTTGCTTTGAGAATAGTTTTCTTCTCATTGTGAAAGGATTATTTGAATATCTTCGTATTCTTTGTGAAAAATGTTTCCTTCTGAGATTTAAAAAATTACAAAATGTTATTTTTGTCGCATTCAAAAAACTCAAGCCTTTAGAGCAAGTGTTTTTCATTCGAGAATTTATGCGTCAATTTTGAATTGAAAATAGTTTTCTTCTCATTGTGAAAGGATTATTTGAATATGTTCGTATTCTTTGTGAAATATGTTTCCTTATGAGATTTAAAAAATTACAAAATGTTATTTTTGTCGCATTCAAAAAACTCAAGCCTTTAGAGCAAGTGTTCTTCATTCGAGAATTTATGCGTCAATTTTGAATTGAAAATAGTTTTCTTCTCATTGTGAAAGGATTATTTGAATATCTTCGTATACTTTGTGAAAAATGTTTCCTTCTCACGTTTAGAAAATTAGAAAATGGTATTTTTGTCGCATCCAAAAAATTCAAGCCCTTGGAGACAGGTCAAAAATAAAAGATTCTGCTCCAAGAGCTTTTACCTCGTATTTCGAAAATTCAAATTCACAAATAGGGACTCGAGACCTATTTTTAGAAAGCGCTTACGCGTTGCAAAGTAATTCAAAAATTAAGAATACAATTTTTCCATTAGCAATTCACAACTCCAAAGCAACAGACATCGTAACACCTAAAAAAATTCAACAAAAGAACTCCAACTCCCAACCTGAAATAGATCTCGTTCTATATGCAAAATGAATCTCCCAAACGAACCTAGAAAAAAAAAAGATGGAAAAAATACATCGTCCACTATCAGAAAATATAAAATCAACGAACCTTGTCTTACTTTTTCAGCGCCAGAGCCAATCACCAGGCAGTGCCCTAACCTGGGTCGCTACGAGATCGTGTCGGTGCTGCATTCTCGCAGCAACTACAACGTCGACGAAGCATTGGGCTTGGACGGTGAACAGAACATGGCGAGCGCCGCTGAAGTCCAGGACGTCAGGGTCACGCCGACACTCTATCCAGGATCATGTCGTTACGGCAATGTTCGTCGGCTGGATATCGGTTGCAAGACACCGGATCGCATGGAGTTCGCCACATCTTGCCGCGGCGACACACCGTGGGGTAAGATTTCTCAGTAATTTCTTCTCCTATCGAGACATTCTACCGCCTTGGGAACATGGCAGATTGGCTGGATCCATGTAAGACAGGGATTCGATCGCCTTCTGGGTTGCTTGGTCTTACTTTGATGGTAGGTTTAGGTCGATCCTTGGATAGATGATGCTTGTAGATTGATTCTATTACACTGGAGAATGGTTGACGAAGGTTTAGAAAGCATAAAACTAATTTAGGTACGATTAGGTGGAGGCTAGATCGTATATGAGTAGATGACACTTGTTAAATCTGTAGATTGGTTCTATTGCATTGGAGAATGTTTGTCGAGGGTTTATAAAGTATAAAACTAATTTACATTCAGTTAGACGGAGTCTGGATCGTCTTTGGATCATTTGCTCGTGCTCTCGTGATGAATTAGGTCAGTATTTGAGTAGATGACACTTGTCAAGTCTGTAGATTGATTCTGTTACATTGGAGAATGTTTGTTGAAGGATTGAAAACAATAGACCTAATTTATATTTGATTAAATGAAAATTAGATCATCGTTTGATGATTAGTTAGCGCTGTACTTAAGTTTATCCTGCTTTGCTATACTTCAGATGTGTTTGAGATTAGACTAGGTGAGAGTTAGGTCGCTTTTCAATTCTTTTAAGATGACAGAGTGTCTTTATAGTGAAGATAATGGAGGCACTAAACCTGTCTTATCTTAGGTCAGAGGGCAACAGCTGATTCTAATGATTAACTAACTTTGTAGATTATGTTAGATGTTACTTCCTGTTCCAATGATAGACTAACTTAACAGATTATGTTTCTAAGCTATTTCTACTTTACTAAATCAATTGTTTGAAATAATTGTGTACCTTCATCGAGAAAAATAACTTAAAATATTAGAAAATTTTTATGAAAAATTTAATGAAAAGATTATCGGTTAATATTGCGAGTAATTAATACTCATTCTTCCTCGTTTCTTTGGCTATATTCTTCTTGCAAAACAGGAAGAGAACGGAGACATAAAAATTCCGTACGTTCAACGAGATGACGAGGGCCAGGAAAGTGTCTGAGAACATTGATGGCTTCGTATCATGGCTTCTGACGTTTGTCAGACACGAATCGTCAAGTTGGTCGTTCTGGCTGGTACATTCGAGGGGCGGCAAACCCTCTTCAATTTCGTAAAACGTCGCGGAATAACCGGTTCAGTTTCTCCAAACAGTTTGGCAGAAATAGTTCGAACGAAACTCGCGAGAATACATCAGCCTGATGAAAGCAAGCGAATGTTTGTAGCCTACAGTATGTATCAGAGTGTATGTAGCAAGTTTATGTCAAAAAACACATCGAAAAGATCTAATCAAATTGTCTCGAAGAAGACCCCCTATCCGTGTGAACCAAATTTCAAAATTAATCATTGCACCGTTCTTTCAATTCTAGAAACTTAGAAACACTCTGTGCATATCAAACAATTTTTCCACAGTTATGCTTCTTGAAATTTCCCCATTTTCTAGAGAGCACGATGAGATGTATCATAAAACCAGTTATTAAAAAAAAAAAGAATCAAATTTAAAAATTCGTCGTTGCTCCATCCTTTCAATTCTCCATTTCGTCTATTTCTTGTCAACTTTGGGAGCACTCACAGATACACCGGGTAACAATTTTCCAAAGTTTACGCGTTCGGAGATCTCCTCCATCCTTGAGGGGACAATGAAATGTGTCACGAATGAGAACTAGCCACTCACGAGAATTAAATTCGAAAATTCGTGGGTGCTCCACACCCTTCCGATTCACCCTATCTTATATTCCCTATCAGCCTTAGGAACACCCTGTACACCTCGAACAATCCTTCCCAACTTATATCCGGCCCTCGATCGTCACGTCACAGCGTGTCACGACTGTTTTTTTACATGGGGACATCCTTATGGACGCTCCGCCCCCCGAGGAAGAGGGAGGGGTAGTGCCGGACTCTTACCGGCTAAAACCCCACGGTGGCCATCCTCGGCACTCCGGGGGTGGGCCCGGGATCTCTTACGAACACAACCGGACCCACCCCACGCCGGACCC